TTCAGAGAGGAGAGAGGAGAAAGTCAGCCCTGAGCCCCACAGCCACAACCTCACACAAGTACCAGGCATGGAGAGAGAAATCCCTCCAGGCTGACAGAGCCACCCCAAGTCCTCAAACACTCCAGTTCTGGCCCATCAGCATCCTGACCTGCCTGGGGGTCAGCCCCACACCCCAGGGGGTTTCCACTGGACATGTGGGTCCAGCAGCCCAACCGCCCCAAGCTCTGCCCCTCTAGCAGCTGGCAGGCAATGATGCTTCTTCTCCTCGAGATGGAATTGCTGCTCTTCCCAGACAATCTAATTTGTCAAGCCTAATGCACCACACAATTACCATTAGCCAAGCTGAACAATCTCTGATGGCAACTTCTGCTAGGTTTCAGAAGATCAGCTCAGGTGACAGGGTGGGCTCTGCAGCGCGGCAGGTAGCTCTCCCCAGCCAGGGGTTCCTGGCGTGGGCTGTGAGTCAGCAGGGAGGTGGGCAAGGGGGTGACAAGGGACCATGCAGGGCTTTCACAAACCAGCGCTCGGGGAAGCTGGGAGAGGCCTGAACCTTCTCAGTCCAAATGAGAATGACCCATTTCTCAGCGTAGCACAAAGCCCACGGCTTTGCTGAGCCTGGACTGCAGCCTCAGTGCAGACAGACAGCAACACAGGCGGTGATGGTCCCTGCCTGTCCCTAGCCCCTAGCTTGGAGGCTGCCCATGCTCCCCGACACCATCCTTTGGTGACCTCCTTCAGGATGGGTCCCGAGAGGTCGGCCTTGGACAGGCTCAGGCTCTGCCCACCAAGGAATTACCTTTGTGCAGGGCCGTGAGGGTCGTGACTTAGGGGTCCCCGGGCGCCGGGCGCTCCCGTCCCGCTGAGCCTCGCAGCTCGGAGGCACGTGCGATGGAGAGAGGAGCAACTTCTTCAGCTGCAGAGAGAAGCGGCAAGAAAAGAAGTCGGCATCACAGCAAGGGCAAGAGAAAGCATTGTTGGGGCCACAGCCCCTCAGCTTGTGCTTTTGCTAGGCACACCCATTGCTGAGCATCTGACCCAAAAAAGGAGGAGGGAAAAAGAAAAGAGCAGGGAGGCGCTCCCCATCTCCCCATGGCTGTGGGGGCAGGCCCCTGCCTGTGCACAGCCCTAAGCGGGGAGCATTGACCCACATCCCCAGGGATCACCCAAGCAGATCAGAGCATAGGGTCTGTAAGGGAATTTACTTCCCAGGGTTATCCCCACTCCCATCAGACACACGGGACATCCAAGCCTCTCACTCTATCAATTCTGGCCTTAGGTGACAGAGGCTTTACATTGGCATGAGTGATGGATTTCGACAGCTTGGTTGGGTCCCTGTGCAAAGCTCGTTTAGCCAAAACATCCAGAGAGGGACTTGACTCATTAATGAGCTTTCAAGGCATTTTGCAGAAGGAAGCCTCTGTGGGACCTGCTGAGGGTCTTCCCCAACAGGCTCTGTCAAGCCCATGGGTGGTGGGAGTGGGGTTCTCCCTGGGTTACCCCCAGTGCCATCACTTCTCATGGCAAGGTCAGCATAACATTTTTCTTCTACTCAAAACCATTTCTGGTTAGGGGTAAAAAAAACACCAACCAACCAAACCCCACACCCAGCAACATTTCATATTCCACCCCTGTCGCGCCAACAACTGAAGGCGACAACAGCTCAACAGCAAGACGACTGCGTAGGTGCTGGGGGACTGTATGGAGGAGACAGATCTGGAGATCCCGTGCTGCTCGGTGGGCATGGAGCCCTGAGGTGGGCACGGGGGGTTTTAAGGGGTGATAGAAATAGGGGGTACCCAGCTCAGGGTCTGCTGGGTAACATCAGCCGAGGCACTCACAGCTTTAAGCGTGCAACTCCTGCTGGTGGAAGCAACCAGCACCTTTCCCCCCCGCCCCACCCCTGCAACGTATACATCCTATATATACACATACATATTGTGTGTGATATATACCCCCCTGCGCAGGGCGTGGGTGGTGGAAATGCACGCTCTCACCACTGGATGTCACTCCTCCCCGCCGCAGTCCCGGCTTTTGGGGAGACCCCGGGGCCAGGATGGGGGTCCCTAGGGCGGACTGTGAGCCCCAGGAGGGTGCA